AAAGAAAAAAAAAAAAAAAAAAAAAAAAAAAAAAAAAAAAAAAAAAAAGAGAAATACGTTATTTTGATAATAAAAAATTATAATTTTTTTAATGATTTGTGCACAAAAAGACTAGGAAAGCAAATTAAAATTTAAAGTAAAGAAAAGCAAACTCAATTTCATTAAATATAAGGCTATGAGATGGTAGCAGATACTGCAGAGGTGACAGACCCTGTCTGAACTATGCAACATCGACTCAGGCTTTGCAACCTTCAGGTCCAGGCAGGCTGAACAGGCACGTCTGGAGGAAATGACCCTTTACTTACTGTGACTGGCAGAACCCAGTCAGGTACGGAGGCTGCAACAGCATCCATGAAGCAGTATGTGTGTGCCATATCCAGCTCACACACCTGGTGCCTCCCAGGATAATATGCTGCTCTAATGAGGCATAAAATCTCTGGACAAGCAAGGCCATTTTTGCCTGCTAACACCACAGCAACACAGAAGCACAAGGTTGATGGTGAGCTGTGGAGAAATCTTTGGCGTGGTTCCTATGATATCCGCAGGCCTGTAGAGTGACTCAACAAATTCCCATGAAGAGACGATGCTCTTGAGATTCTCTTTTGGGTAAATGAGAATACTTTCCCACACAAATGGAGAATAAAGGAAGCTTAGGTGCATTTTTGTAGTAAACAGATAAATATCTTAAACTTAAAGATATAGTTCACTCAAAAAGGAACATTCTGTCAGAGTTTGCTCACCTTCATATCATTTCAAACCTGTAAGAGATTCTTTCTTCAGTAAAAGTCACATTTTTGCAGAATAGCCCATACTTTTCAATATAATAAAAGTAAATGGAACTATAAAATGCACCATAAAACTACCACAAAAGTGTCTAATGAAGAATGGCACAGGATTTGATTTGAGAGCAACGAAGTGGAAAATTATTAGTCAAGAGCAGCTTAAATTTCAGTGCTATTGCAAGACTTCAGAAGATTTGTAATAGAGCCACATGAGTCACATGGACTTTTTAATAACTCTTTTATGGTACTTTTCTGTCACTTTGGTGCCAGGAAACAATGGTTCAACTAACAGAAGCTGGATTCAAACTCACATCGTTAACCGTTAGGTCAAAGATGAAGATTTTATAGCTCAGACATTGCTCTTTTATAGCTCAGATTTCCGTTATGCTTAATTTATCTACCAACAGATGATTCTCCTAAAGGATAAATAATAATAACAAAAAATGAGACAATTGTTGATATACAATAAGAGTGTAAAGCAATACATGTGAATTGAATAGTTGAGAATTTGAGAAATTATTAAGTTCACAAAAAAATTCTTTTGATTGTAGATTTTGGTATCTTTGCAAATCTGAACACAGTTTAGATCTTAAACTAGGGCAAACAAATGCAAGAAAAATCATGAAAAGAATCTGAGAAGCACTGAGACCTCAGTAAGGCTCCAATTGTGGTTAATTTAATCTATTTGCACAAGGGAAAAAATGGTTTGTAAAGAAGTGAGGTTGACAGTTATTGCTTCCACAGTGGCAAAGTTAGTGGCCAGTCCTCCTGAAAAACAGACTCAAATGCAGTCACAATATCTAAACTCTCTGTTCACTTCGGCGTGCATTGCTACAAGCTCGTACACAAACAACACACTGACCTGAGACTGGGAAACAAACTGCTACATGAAGGTCACTGTATTGAAGTCACATCAAAACAACATATGAACCAAGTATCCCGGAGCCTGATATTTCTTCTCTTGACAAACTGAACGACACACAGGGAGCCGAATATTTCACAGGCATCTCTCGCAAATTAGACTGAGGCCAGATCATTTATCCTGCAAGTAATCCAAATCATTCCTCACTCTGTGATTCCTATTCATTGGGAAGAAAGATGACTCAGACATTTTAGCACTGCAATAAGTGACTCGAAACAATCCTAATAGAGATTAATAGAGAGGCTAGACGTTCAGAGAATTATGTGATGAATGTTGTAGGAAATACGGAAAGCTGCAAATCGAGGCATTACGCTGTGTAAAACCGACAAGGGGAGATCTCTTAATCAACTTGACGGCACAAAATCTGAATTTTTATGTAAACTGCAATCACAGTGATTAGAAAAACTATGGATTGTGAATGACACATCATAAAGGACGTGTTGACAGCTGTCAATATAATGGTGGATTCAGGTGTTGGATGAATAAAAAGCAACAAACAGGAAGCCGTGGGAGACTCTAAACGGCAACGCAAACCTAAACTCAACTAAATGAATGGTTCCACCTTACCTGTCATTCTCCACGCTCTTGAAGCCCGGTAAGATGTTCCTGAAGCTGCTGTGGCGGTCGAGCTTCGGCTGGCTTTTGGTACGTTTAATGGAACCCTTCAGTCTGCGACTTAGGAAGCCCTGGACAGGAAGTCAGAGGAAAGGACTGGATTACATTCACAAATTCATTAACCACTGGAGCAGCTGCATGTGAAAACCAAAGCTCGTCTTTTTCTCTTCTATCTGTTCTTTCCTCCCTCTCGCTCTCCTCTCATCTGTAGCATTTGGTTGCGGCGTACATAGCTGCGCGATTGGTGCGGCACACACATCTGCTCGCAGCGCTGGGCTGAAGGAGCTTCACTGATGTAATACTCCCCTCAAAGCCGCTGTTACCATGGAAACTGTTGGCTGGCATGGAAAAGGTGGGGGAAATATTGGTGCACTGCAAGTTCATATAGGGCGAGAGCTGAGCTGGCGCTTTTCAGACGCTGTACAGATTAGGACAAGATTAAAAGGACTTGAATTATTCCTGAAAAACTCCAGTCTGTCTGAGTGGGATGCTTGCAAAACATGCATTTCTCAGGCATGTAGATGCAATTAATGAGTGGGAAATGTGAATCAAGGCCTCATGCATGAAGTGAATAAATGGCTGCTTGATCTTAATAAACCACTTAGTGCCTGTTGTTGCACAACAACCGCTTAAGGGGCTAACATGAATGAACAAAGACACAAAGAACGGCACAAATTCTGCTGAAAGGTCTAGTATAGTTAGTATAGTATAGCTAGACTAGTATAGAAGCATCATGCCTACTGAGGGTATACATGACCCTTCAGAATTTTGAATACATTTATTTTTGGAAAGCAATTTCTGGAAGGAATGAAATGAATGATTAATTAATTAATACAAAAATTTTAATATAAATATTGATATAAAATATGTAACATTTATATTTATTTTATATTAATATATTTTAATAAATATTTATTATTTATATTTAAAAAAGTTGGTTTCGGTCAGTTTTACGACATCTTATCAAAAAAACTTCAAGTATATTTTCCCCCTCGGGTGTAATCTACATTTTTTAGCTCTTTGTTTTTTTCGGGGCAACTTTCCCATGAAATTTGCCATTTTGCCAAACTTCCAAATGGAATTATTCATCGAGCCTGTCAGAGTGAAGGAAGAGCGCTGTTTGATGATGCTGTTGTTTGGAAGAGAAGTACAACTGGAGGCTGCAGCCGCAGTCTGGATCAATGACAGTCTGAAGAGCTCAACTCCTGAAACACACTCCAGCTGTGCAGTAAACTCTGCATCTTTCAAATTTAAACAATACGCCAAGATGCATTTAAGGCCAAATCTACATGCATCACATGCATTTCTTTACAAAGAATTTTGGTCACTAAATTGTTCTGCAATTCTACAGATAGAAGTGAATAAGAATTATTTGTTTTCTACAGAATTATGTTTCGTGCCCTCCAAAAAGTATATAAAAGTAACATTTTTATTACAAAATATATTTTGTGTGTGAAGCCTGATGTTAATTTAGTATAATTAATGATTTCTGTACAGGATCATGTGACACTGCAGACTGGAGTAATGGCAGAATAACACCCTATTCTTAACCAAACATATGCGGTTATGTTGGAATCATGTGTCAGTAATAAGCTGTCAGCTGTCAAAAGGCTGAAGGTCTGCAGATTCCTTCACGTTTATTGTGTGCATGTACTGAATTCCTGTAACGCTTAGCTGCTGAGCCTGCATTTCCAACCTCCTCTCATCTCCCCCCCCCCACTTCTCCCCCTTCTCCTGTAATCTTTATGCTTGCCCTCTCTCTGCCCTCTTGTGTCCATGCCTGTGAGTTTGTGTCTGACAGCTTTAATTGTGCTGACAATCTTAGACATGGCGTGAAACATTTTGAAGCCGATAGATGTAGATTTGAAGGCCCTGTCTGGATTTGTATAACCTGGTCCCTACTTTGTAAGACAGGAGAAGTCTAAGCCCTGTCCTGACCCGCACACGGCACTGTTAGGCTGTTAGTCACACCTCAGCTAGTAAAGAAAATAAAAAAACCTTGTGAGATGTCTACAGACAGTGTGTGTGTGCTATGTGTTTTAATACCAAACAATTTAGTAGCTAAACAATTAATATTATAAGCCTTAAGTGTCAAGGCCATATTGTTCACTTTTGAGGAATGTGGAGTCAAGTTACAATGTTAGTGAAGGTTTTGTTGACTAAAATAGTCATAGTATTTTCCAGTTACATATCAAAAAATTCTTGAAATAAATGTACAAAGGTAAAAAAAATATTACAAGTGAAATAAATAAATGAACATGATTTTTAAAACACAGCAAAATGTTTTACAAGTTAAAAAGAAAAACATTTTAAAAATATATTTTTTTGTAGTGTAGGCATCATGTTAAATCTCCTTAGCGGGTCCTTTATTGGGATAAACCACTATTCCTCATTCCCTGAAATTGTGTCTAGACAAGTAACAAGCCAGTCCTGTTATAACCAGTGGAACTGAGATATGTTTCTTGCCCTTATTGTGCCAATGCACCAAGGTTACAAGATAAACATTCCTGGAAGACATCTAATTTAAAATGAAATATTTCAAGAGGCCCCTTATGCCAAGACTTCCAGATGTCTCCTTATGCCAAATGCACACTACAACGCTAAAGATCCCCATCCTACACGCAATTAAAAACTCAGTTTGGCAAATTGGTTATCTTGTTTTAAAAATAAAACTAACAAATATTTGATTAATTAGAAAGAAAAGTAGTGAAATACACTCAATTTGTCAAGGATAGCACAATAAAGTTAAAAACTTGTTTCCATTGTGGTCCTTAATGTTTAGCACAAACTTCACTCCTGGTAACAGATACCGACATTGCATTATAAATAAAGAAATGACAATTTACCCTAGAAAAAAGGCATTAAAATATGAAGGAGCTCTATTATTGATAATCTTATGTACCATTTTTAATTTAATGTGTTCTATTCTGGTTTCTGTAGGTAACCAATGAAGATGCTTACAATAGAAAACATAAACGTGTAAAACAACTAAACCTTAAAACTAACCATATCAATTTATTTTGAGATTTTTGTAACCAAACAATTTTTCCAACCAAGTAAATTTATCTTGTTTTAAATTTTTTTTGTTGTTTTGTTTTTTTAAATACATCTTCACTGGAAAATAAGAAAAAAATGCTTCTCAAATATATATATATTTTTTTTTTTTGCAGTGTTCCCCTGCTCTGACAATGCATTTGACACCTATGACCTCTAGGACAACAGTAGCCAGTGACAAAATGTGCAAAAAAGATGTTTTCCATTGTGAAAACAAGTTCTTTGGGTTCAGTCTTCCATGAAGGCACTTAGCATAACAGACGTTATCAAACATGAGAAACATGTTATCTCTCAGATAACAACTAAACAAGACTCCCGACTGCAGCGAGCCTCTGCAAAGAGCCTGAATGAGTCTGAGCATCTGCTGAAACAATACATTTAATG